GGTACTGGTGAAGGGAAAGGTGTTTGATCATTGTATGACCGAGACTCAAACCTGAAAGCTTTGTAACTTTTCCCACAGCGATTCAATAAATAAATATAACAAAAAATATATACTATTTTGAAATGAGCAGTTAGCATTTATCTGTTACTGTCACTGTCACTGTATTCCCGTTGTTCATCGATTTGCTCAAGTGGGTCCAGTAAACGTCTCCATTGTGACACTTGTTACTGTTTGGCATATCGAATACATCACGGGTAGCTTGCCAGGCTTTGCCGTGTGGGCGAGATACTCTCAGTAGCTTGCTGGGCTCTCCAAGAGGGGCGGAGGAATCAAACCTGGGTGGGCCTGGTCAGCCACGTGCAAGGCAAATGCCCTACTGGCTGTGTATCGTCCGGCTCTTATTTAAACATGCATTTTGTAGCATCGTGGATCATTTATATATTTTGAATTTTGGGGTGGGTGGAGGTTGAGCCACATCTGGAAGTGCTCAGGGGCTATTTCTGACTGTACCAAGGAATGATCCTGATGATGATCAGGGGACCACATTAGGTGCTGTGAATCAAACTAGAGTTGGCCATTTGCAAAACAAATTCCTTTACCGCTATCTTTCTAGCCCCCAAACTCATTTTACTTTGGTTACCAGAACATTTTTTTTAATTCCTGTATTCTAAAGTGTTAAATGTATTTCTCTAAATTTGGTGATGTCTGAAAACTTATGGCACATACCCTCAATTCTAGCATCAAATCTGATTAAAAGATTCTGTAACATTTGTTCTGGGTCTCTCCACATTGTTGCTAGGCTGCTGATTATGGCATTTTATATGAATACTTCCAGCAGAGTATGCAGGTTTTTGACAGTTGTGATATCCAAACCATTTACTCCATCCTAAGATTATTGACTGAAATTTTCTAAGGAATAAAATTAGAATCATTACTGATTAGCAGACACTAAACCCCACATTCTTCTCCAGTTCTGTAAAGCCCTTCTCTGATTCAGAGGAAATAGAGTCAAGAAAGGAATTCTTTCATTTGCCATTTATTCAGTAAATATTTGAAAGCGTTTGCAATGTGTGACTGAGGCCAAGAATAGCACAGCTGGACAGCAGCGGTGCAAGAACAGATTCAATCACTGCTGAGAGGGCAAAGAATAACAGCATGAGCACTGGATTGTGAGTTCTGAAACTTGAATTCCAGCCTCAGTCCTTCCACAAATGATTGGCATAATCTTGGCAGATGTATAGATCCAAGGCCTTGCTTGCCTTATTTATAAAATTAGTTCTTACACTTGCTTGAGTTTTTTTTAAATCCTACAACTTGATTTGTCCTAACTTTGACATCTGAAAATTATTTGAAAGGCATGTCATCTTTATATAATTTGATTAGTCCATTTACTGTTTGACATGGCAATACTTAAGATCCTTCCAATACGAACACACACACATGCGCTCATTCACACACACACATACACACACACAAACACACACACACGAACACATGCACGTTCTGAAGATATGTAGTGCTTATCTTAAGGGCAAAGTTTGGCTTTACTCTGTAAATGTGTTCAGAAAACAATATAACACAGATACTGAAGGCAGCTTGTTTTTTAACTTGTAGCTAAACATGACATTCAAATGTTAATTGGATGAATAAATCTTGTTCATTTTACAGACATGGAAATGTCAATGGAATAAAACTATTTATCATGAGATAATGGTCTCCTGCCGCCAGATAAATGCCAAGATGAAGATACTTATTGAAAATGTATCAAAATATTCTATTGCTATTTATTGAAAATAAAGGTTGAGGAAAAGTTCAAGTTTTCAGGTCAAACATGAGAAATGTCCTGTCTATGATGTTAGTATATTATTGTATCAAACACAATGTGCATGGTAAAGAAACAAAGGAAAATTCTAAGAAGTAACAAGTTAGAAATAAGTCTTTTAGCTTTTCAGCATAAGGACTATTAGAATAGTGCTTTGGGGCTAGAAGGAGACCCCTATGCTTATTAGGTTGTTATTGTCTTCTTGACACAGTCCTAGGGATGTTCACAGATACAAGTCTCAAGAAATCAGGATTTGAAAAGAAATATTATCCTCATTTTACAGGTTAATTTACAAGAAAAATAAGTTACAGTTACAGAGAATCACAACACCTGAATTCAAACTGAAGCTACACAGCCAATCAAGCTCTTTTGCACACTATGGCTTTACTTATATTCTGAATACTACTTGGGGTTGAGGGGCTAGCGAGTATGTTATTTCTCCAATATTTCTTTAGGTTTTTGTTTGTTTGCTTGTTTATTTGTTTTCTTTTGTTTTGGGGACGTACCTAAAGATGTTCGGGCTGGAGGAATAGCATAGCGGGTAGGGTGTTTGCCTTGCAAGCGGCTGACCCAGGTTCGATTCCTCTGCCCCCTCAGAGAACCCAGCAAGCTACCAAGAGTATCTCACCTGCATGACAAAGCCTGGCAAGCTACCCATGATGTATTCTATATGTCAAAAATGCTAACAAGTCTCACAATTTGTTGTGAGATGTTACTGGTGCCCGCTCGAGCAAATGGATGAACAATGGGAGGACAGTGCTCCAGTGACAGTGCTACCTAATGTTGCTCAAAGCTTACTTCTTTCTCTGCACTCAGGAATTACTCCTGGCAGTGCTCGGGGTGCCGGAGATTGAATCCAAGTCAGCTGCATGCAAGACAAGCGTCTTACCTTCTGTACTACCTCCACCTTCATCCTCCCAAGATTTCTTGTACTAAGTGATCCAACACTTCTTTGGACCTCAAGTAACACTGGATTCTACAATAGAGATCCCCTTTCTAGGGGATTTGAAAAATCTTCACTTAATTTTTATTCTCTGCTTTCTTTTATGAAATTAGCTATAATTCTCTACTCATCTTGGCCTTAGTGATCGTGCTAAAAAAATGTTAGTTGGGGCTTTTTACACCCTGGACAGGCCCATATTCTCTCTTGAACATATGTGTCTCTTTTTCTACTCTCATACTTCTAAATTTCTTTCAATAAAAAACAGTTTGCTTCACTAAAAAGAAAAATGCTATTAGGGTGATTGAGAATAGGGATGAATAATTAAAGCTGTTTAAATTGTTCTTTGTTTGCTAAAGTTTTTACTAATCTCTTAAATCCAGTGTCTCACCTTCTCCTACTCTTAACCATTCCTTTTCTGGCCAAAACCTTTGTGTAGTAATGTCCCATCCTTTTGACTGTCAGAGAAATGCAGTTTTCTTTTGGCACTTAAGTTATTGGAATATTATTGATTTAGTTATTGATATATTATTGATCTACTCGTAAGCTTCTCTAACATATTGTCTATACCTTCTGGGGGGAGGCATGGGGAGGAAGGTGTGTTTGTCTTTTCTCTGTACTCTCTCACACCCAGCAGAGTGAATGTTAGAAATTAACCAGTTTATGGGAGAGTGACAGAAACAAGCAGTTGGTCTCTGATTTAAAGGACTAGAGAAGATTTATGGCTGCTGAGACATGCGTAGTGCACCCTTGTGAATATGGAGTCTGTCTTCCTGGTCCTTTGTGTAAGCTTGAATCTATCTGTTCTCTCTAATACACATTTGGGTTTGATGTATTTTGTTAAATTCCTAGAGGCAATGAATAAGCAGATAATTTAACTTCTTGGTGGTTAACAAGAAAAGATGCTTGAATGTTTATTGTCCTCAGAAAGAAAATAGTAATACATATATCACCCTTTTTATATAAAAATAGTAAGTGTACTAGTATCACTATCACCATCATCCTGTTGTTCATCGATTTGCTCGAACGGGCACCAGTAATGTCTCCATGCGTCCCTGTCATGCGCTAGTGTAGCCCAATGGCATATTGGGGGCTCTTTCAGGTTCAGGGAAATGAGGACCATCATTGTTAGTGTTTTTGGTATATCGAGTATGCCACGGGTAGCTTGCCAGACTCTTCTGTGTGGGCAGGATACTCTTAGTTGCTTGCCGGGCTCTCCAAGAGGAATGGAGGCTTTGGGGGCTGCCGCTAATCACCTTTACAGGTGTTCCCAATCAGACATATGTGCGGGCAGGATACTCTTAGTAATCTGCTGGGTTCTCTGAGAGTGAGAACTAGAAAATAAGAGGTCGTGCGGCCGGAAATGCGTCCTCCAACTTCTGGGAGCTTGGTTTTATAGTCTCTCGGTCTTGGCCGTTCATGGGATTACATGGTACTGAGGGGAGTTGGTGGGTGTAGCTGTCTAGCTACTGGAAGATGGGGGATCTGGGTGGAAGAGGCCTAGTCCCGAATCGAGCAGTCTTGGATATCTCAGCCCTGGGTCCGCACACCTAGGTTCCTTTGCTGGTTCCTTCATGTGTGAGGCTTGTCCGAGCGTGTGGAGAGAGGTCTTAGCATGGCTGTGGTTGGGTTACAGAGGTCTTCAGCTGCTTGGGGCGGAGAGGGAAACTCAACCCGCCTCCCTCCAAGGGGCCCCGGTGAGGACAGCCAGGCACAGAGGCAGGAAACTGCCTTGTTCTCTTCCGGATGCTTGGTTTTATAGTCTCTGGATCTTAGCCGTTAATGGGGTTACATGGCAGTTGGCGGGTGTAACTGTCTAGCTACTAGAAGATGGGGTGGTGTATACTCCAGAAGTGTACTAGTAAAGTTTTTTAATAACCATAATATTCTAGGGTGATAATACAGAGATTAGGGCACACACTTAGCATGCACCCAGCCCAGATTTCATTCCCAGCCCTGCGTGTGGCCCCGATTACCACTCAGTGCAGCCCTGGATGCTCTAGATATCCCTGGTGGGGATCAGGTGCTCCCCAGCACTGCACAAGCAACATGTGTCTTCATGCTCTCACACTGAAACACTGACCCATAAGTTGAGAAAGGCCATTGCTGTCCTGGACCTCCTGAGCACCATCTGTGAGACTCCTTTCCCTGATATAGTACTCTTCTAGTTTCAGGTAGATGCCAAGCACCATAGTGTCTCCTGGAATTCTGACAGTCTTTCCCATGTGTTTTTCACAGATGGAAGACCATTGACCCTGAAGGACATTTGGGAAGGAGTCCATGAGTGCTATAAGAAGCGGCTGCAGCAGGGACCTTGGGAAACAATTACTCAACAGGTTAGAAACCATCTTCATTGTATTATGTGCAGCTTTTTCCCTCTATATCTCTTCAAGTTCTCTTTCTCCTCTCCTCTCATTTCTCAATTATAAATTTCAGCTTAAAGACAGTTTCCTTTCCAGAGCGAGACTTGAATTAGCTTCTCAGAAGCTCTCATAGTGCCCTGGAATTTTTTTTCCTTAGTGTTTTTCAATGTTATAAGTTGGCACTTTGTACTTAAAAAATAAGTTTGTCTTTTCCACCACACTATATATACTATGCGGGCAGTTTGTTCTACTCTTTACTGTATACATAGCAATTGCCTAAAAATCAAGTAATTAAATATAAAAAATAATTTGACCTATATGTTAAGAAATAGATGATTCAGCTTGTATCACCTGTAATATTTCAGAGTTTTAGTTTTAGGTGCATTTGCAAAAAAATTAACATTCGTATAATACTAGGTTTGTAACTGTGATACCAAAAAGTAGAAAATAGATCTGCAAAAGTTGATTTGAAAAAGTAGAGAAAATAGAACTGTCAATCATATAAGTCATTATTATTGCCTTACTAAAATCAGCTGTTAATTATTTTAGAAATTTAAAAATACTCATCACCTTGCAACCAATCATGGTCTCCTTAAAAATAATTTTTACTTATATAAAAAATTGTATTTTTTCCAGTTCTGTTAAACTCAGTCAAAGCATCCTTTAAAAATGACTTTCTCAGCCATTAGAATTTGTATGCCCTCTTATATGTTTGATCATATTAATGACAGTTTACCTACAAATCAACATAAGAATCCTTTTGTACTCTTAAGCAGTTCTCTGACATTGACTGTAAATGACCACTGTTTAAGATTGAGGGCAAAATTAGGTTTAGATAGATATTTTCCCACACTACCCCTCAAATTAATCCTTTTATCCCCCTTCCCAATATCACCCTCCCTATTTCAAGCCTTACAATCTTTCCTGGAACAATTAATAAAGCCTTCCACATCCCCACCTCTGAACATCTGCACCTTTTTTTTTTCATTTTTTTTATATTATCATTTTTTTATTAGTGAAACACCATGAGGTACAGTTATAGGCTTATAAATTTTTGTGCTTGAGTTTCAGTTATACAATGATCAAGTATCCATCACTCCACCGCATCTGCACCTTACTCACATCTTTTTTTTATTTAATTTTTTATTAGTGAATCACCGTGAAGTACAGTTACAGACTTACAAACTTTAGTGCTTGCATTTCAGTCATACAATGGTTGAATACCGATCCCTCCACCAGTGCCCATTTTCCACCACCAATGATCCCAGCATCCCTCCCACCACCTCCACCCTGTCCCCTCCACCCCGCCCTGCCTCTGTGGCAGGGCATTCCCTTCTGCTCGCTCTCTCTCCTTTTGGGTATTGTAGTTTGCAATAGAGGTATTAAGTGGCCATCATGTTCGGTCTATAGCCTACTTTCAGCTATAGGGCCCTCACAATTGGGCCCTCCTAGCACCCTTTACTTGGTGGTCCCTTCTCTGTCTGAGCTGCCTTTTCTCTCAGCATGCGCTTACTCACATCTTAGCCATCCTGTGCTTTCTTTACCCATGCACGAAACACTACCACTGTTCAGAGGCCTGGGACACATGATCTAAAAGCTCCTCTGGCCTTCAGTGACTGCCTTTCCCTGCTTCCAACCAGATTTTTCAAGCTTCTCTTCTCCACTATACAGACTCAGCCCGTATAAACAGGGCTGTTCGTTTCCCCCTTTGTCCTTGGAATTCTTTCCAGATTAATTATTTTCCTTTTGTTCTGTTGACTATTTAACTACTTGTTCTCCCGTGTGTTCTTTTCTCTGAAATCACAAAAGTGACCCTGTATGAAATCCCTGCTTCTGTAGGGCTGACATGGGTGGTGGCTATCATGGGGGGGGGGGGGGGGGGGGAACGGGCAGCAATCTGCTGCTTAAACAGGCAAGTCAACCCTAGAATGGGGCCTGGAACATTTTATTTATGACAAGTTTTAAGGTGAGTGCTAATAAAGTTTTCAGCTTCCAGGTTTTATCAGTGACCACAAACTGCCCCCAAGTGTATATTGTTGTGGATACAGGATGCAAGAAAATATTTGGCTGTAGGGATCAAAGAAGAGAGTATGAGAGATAGTGCAGTATGTAGGTCCTTTGCCTCCCCATGTGGCTGATCTGGGCTAAAACCCTGGTATCCTAAAGGTCTCCCAAGCCCACATGGACTAAGACCACACTGCCTAGTGTGCCCCCAACTCCCAAAAAAGGGTCAAATGCTATAAATAGTGAAAGTGAGCATCTCAAAACATCCACATTTGACGGTAGTGATTCTTTGTCTTTATGTCTCCTCATACGTGTTTTGCATTATGCTCCTGAGCCCAATTATTGTCAGTGATCTCTATAAGACAGTTACGCCATTCCTGGTAGCCTTGTGTCATTTTGGGTTTGAAGTCCGCAGTCCATGTTTCTCTCTTCTGACTCATAAAACAGAGTAAGATTTTTAACTCAGTTAGGGCTGGAGCGATAGCACAGCGGTAGGGCGTTTGCCTTACACGCGGCCAACATGGCCGACCCGAGTTCGATTCCTCCACCCCTCTCTGAGAGCCCAGCAAGCTACCAAGAGTATCTCGCCACATGGCAGAGCCTGGCAAGCCACCCGTGATGTATTTGATATGCCAGACACAGTAACAACAAAATCTCCAATGGAGACGTTACTGGGCCCACTCGAGCAAATCCATGAACAACGGGAGGGCCTTTACCTTTTTTACCTTTATGTTTTCTTAGCTTCCCAACATAATGTCACCCACAGATTTCATCCCCCATCACACTCTTAGGAGTATGATAGAAGGCCTCAGTTGCTAAGCAAGCTCAATAAACCAATCTGTCCATTGTTTTTAATAGAATTTACTAGTCTCAATTTATAAGCATTTTAAGTGTTTCAGCCCTAATATTAATAGACCACTTTTCCCCTACCTATCATAGTAGGAAAGATCAAATTCAGTTATAATAAGCATATCTATTTCTAACATCAAATGTGGGTGCTACTTGATTGGAGGAATAATTGATAAAATTAAATGATTGAACAGCTGTAGCATTTAAATGTTCCTTTAGAATTTGTCATACAGGGATTGACCTGTACACCGGTATCCCTCTTTGATAATAAACCTTAATCTTTTAAGGTTTATAAAAATCGCTCATCACAGTGGATATCCAGGCATTAAAGATCCAATAAGTGAATCTTATTTTTGCAACTGTACTAGTTAGCATTTGAAATTCATCAGTAATATTTCCTTTAGAGGGCTTGCCTCATCCCCAGTTGATTTATGGGCTGGTATTTATGCATTCTTCTTTGCTTGAGATATTTGAGAGGAAGAATCTTTCTTTTAATAAGTCTCCATGTAGAGAAAAACTAGGGTATACTTAACTGGCTGGAGTGATAGCTCAGCGAGTCGGGCATTTGCCTTGCATGTGGCCGACCTGGCCAACCCAAGTTCGATTCCTCCACCCCTCTCGGAGAGCCTACAAGCTACCGAGAGTATCTAGCCCAAACGGCAAAGCCTAGCAAACTACCAGTGACGTATTCAATATGGCAAACACAGTAACAAGTTTCACAATGTTATTGGACCCACTCGAGCACATCGATGAACAACGGAAGGACAGTGACAGTGACTTAACTGGGTAAAGGGGAATATATGACACAGCACGAGGCAAAAATGAGCTTTTAAATGAGACTGGGTTGATAGTACAATGGGTAAGGCTCTTGCCTTTCACATGGTTTACTTGGATTAGATCCCCAGCATCTCATTTGATTGCTCTGGGTTTCCCTAGGAATGATCCTTGAGAACAGAGCCAGGAGCAAGCCCTGAGCACCACTGGGTGTGGCCAAACATATGAGAAAGTAAAGAATGAGTTGATAGAATATTGTTGACACCAAGTAGTAGGTAGGTTTTGCAGAATTTAGCTAAAGAACCATTAGCTTTCAAATGGAATATGATAATAATATCCTATCCTCCAGAGTGGCTTAAAAACAAAAGGAGCCTTTGCATAATATAAAATGCATTTCACTTCATTTTCAAGCTTGATTGTGCTCATAGTTTGTTGCTCTTCATCTTTGGTAATCACACTTTTGTACTCTCAGCATTTGTCTTGATGATAAGGACCTGTTCATGTTAGACATGAACCCTCTCTTTTAAAGACAAGCTTCTCATGAATCTCATACATTTGATTATGGTGATTACTTACCTGCTTTTGTCCAACATTACAAATGACCTAATATTTCAATCCTGCAGCCTAATAAAGAATTTCCGAAAAAAGTTAACAGATGCCGAGGTTGGATCTGCTTAGATTGGCAAAATGAATGTTGCAGTAATGATCCCTGGAAAGTGTCAGCTTTGTTTTAGGTAAAGAGCTCCTGTGATCTTGGAGTATGCCAAAGTTACAGGTTAGAAAAGTGTGCCTTCAGTTGTACTAGACTATATATATTTATATGTTTGGGTAGTAGTGGGTAAATAAGCAATTTTATTTTATCATCTATGTAAAGATTGCTTTATATTCAAGATAGCCCTTTAAAATTAGAGATTGAAAACAGAATACACTTAGAAACTCTTGGCCAATCTTATTTTATTGGAATTATATTCAAGCTGGAGTTTGAGAGACTCAAATTTGAGACAACATCATTATCCATTAATATTTAATTATGTATCCTACAAAAATGCTTGTGGCAGTCTGATTCATAATAACTCAGTGGAAACAACTTGAAAGTCCTTAAGAGTAGACATGGTAAAATGAGCTGATGTATATCCTTGTACAGAATCCTCAGTGATAAAGGGCAATGAACTGTTTAAATGTTCAACTATCAGGTTAGTGTTTCTGAACTTTTCCTGATAGCTTTTCCTCTTCTGACCTTGCTTCCTTCCAGTGACCCTCCACATACCAGATGACCTCAGTCTCATACCATGGGCCCCAGTTGTGAAATTTTCACTTGTATCCCCATGGAATATCGTGGGGTCCTT